TGCGGTCGCGCCCAGCGCGCGCGATGCTGCCGCTGCTGCTGCCACTGCTGCTGGCCCAACCCGGGCTGGCGGCCTCCGCCGCGTCCCTGGCGCCGCCGCTTTTCAACGTGAGCCTGGACGAGGCCCCCGGGGTGCGCTGGCTGCCGGTGCTGCGGAACTACGATCCGGACTTCTTGCGCACCGCGGTGGTACAAGTCATCGGGTGAGCGGCGGCCGGGGGCGCGGGTGCGGGGCCGGGCCAGGCCGGGGCCCGGGAAAGCGCGGACTCCCGATTCCTCCGGGAGCGCCGGCGACCCCACCAGGTTGGCTCGGCTTGCAAGTTTGGTGTCGGCCGTGGCACGCCCGATCTGAACCATTCCGGGGGCCGTCACCGGGGCTGCCCACGCCTTGCTTTTGGGGGGGCACCCCCGTACCCTGATGTTCCTTTTTCCCTCTTGGGTGCTGTGGATTGAGCGCCCCCGCGCCGGGGCTGCGGGGACACGTGTGCGCCCATCTGTCACTGAACAGATGTCACAGCGCCGTGCCGTGTGCTCGCTTGTTTCTAGCGATAGGGTTCCGGACTGGGTCCTGCGGTTGATCGGGAAAAGGATCGGGGAGCTGGAGCGCTTCCTGCCGCAGCCCTACGGCGACGAGATCCGCGGCATGTGCAACTTCCTGAACCTCAGCCTGGCCGACGGCCTCCTGATCAACCTGGCCTACGAGTCGTCCGCGTGAGTGGCCGGCCGGCCGCGCCTGTCCCCGGGCGTGACGTGGGAGGAGGCGGCCGCGGGAGGTGGAAAACACGCGCCCCGGGGCCACCGAATCCCGGAGTCCCGGAGACATGACAGTCTTTGTCACAGCCTGGTGACCTGCCAGGGATTGAGAGCCTCTCGGAGGGGAGGAAGGGGGGGGGGCGGGGAGCAGTTCTCTGCTTAAACATGGATGGAGCTTTTCCTAAACCCTACCCATCCTTGCTGGTCTCTTTCAAAGCTCATCCAGGGCTGGGAAGGTGGCTCAGTGGTAGAGCGCTTGCCTTGCATGCCTGAGGCCCTGGGTTCGATTCCTCAGCACCACATAAGCAAAAA